TAGTCCGGGAGAGCTTTAAATTCTCCCCCACTGGGGCAGTCCCGCGCACTCCTACCTGCTAGTGTGCTGCCAGTGTAGCCTCTCTGCACTCCCGGGGACTCTTGTCATCTACTTTAAGTGGGCGATGCTGTTGCTTAATTGCAACCTGGAGGTGAGGTTCCCTCCCCTTTAAGTCCTTCTGGCTAAGTCTTCTAAGAGGTCCGTTTTAGGAGCTCTAGTGAGGGTGACATTGACTGACCGCTGGGTTACCAAATCAAACCTTGTCAGATTTTTGTTTCCTTTTTTCGTGGCGGGCATGGATTTTCAGCTCAGAGATGGCTCAAGCAGGACAGGAAAGTGACAGTCTGTTCTCTTTCTGCAGGAAGGTGGCCTCAAGAATTTGCTGGAAACAGGAGCATCAGTCAATGCACCCCCGGATCCCCTTGAGCAGTCGCCTGTTCACTTAGCTGCAGGCTGCGGCCTTGCTTGCTTTCTTCTCTGGCAGCTGCAAACAGGCGCTGACCTCAACCAACAGGTAACTAGGTAACCCATTGTTGCTATGCACAACCCTCTCCTCCACCCAGTGTTTGCACATAGTTGCCAGTTTCAGTTAGTATAAACATGTGTGTACACATACATGTATGTATGTCAAGATGATGACTTGAAGCATTTTTAGTATCCACATTAATAAAGCAAAAACAAGCCACGAGGTTAATTTTATAATTTAACCAAATTCTGTTTCGGAATTTCTGTAATTATGTATCAGTAATGATTGATGTGCTATTTTATCTTTGCTTTTATACCTCTTTCACAATCCAGTATATATTTTATTCTTATGGCATAGCTCAATTCAGTCCAGCCACATTTCAGATGCTCTTTAGCAGTAGTGGCTGCTGGCCATCCATCCCACTATAAGGATACATCCACATTAGTTTTGGAAGTACTTGCTATTTGCCCAGGTCTCAGTCGACCAGGAAATAGTATGTGGGAGATATGCCCAGATTCAGTTCTTCCGGTAGTTTTAATCTTCATTAAAGTGTGATAAGGTTTTTAATTGTAAACTTTTATCTTTGATAGAACTATAATTTTCTGACATTCCCTTAAATTTTAATGTATGTGAAAGTGGCTACATGTTTTTATTAATGGAAACTTTGTATTAGCATAAGAGAACTTTAACAAAAACATAATTGAATAAAAGAATTCAGTTGTTACAAAGGCGGTTTTCACAAATGGCTAATATTAGATTGCCTACTGGCTTCCACAGAGTGTTGGGCAGACACTAATGTGCTATCTTGTCCTAAAGGATGTTTTAGGAGAAACTCCACTCCACAAGGCAGCGAAAGTTGGAAGCCTGGAATGCCTTAGCCTCCTTGTGGCCAGTGATGCTCAGATAGGGTGAGTATAAAATCGGTGGCTGCTGGCTTTGTTTTCTTGGATTAAACTAATCATACTCCTAAAGCCTCTGTTTGGTTACTCAATATGGAGAATACTGAATACCAAATGCTCTTGTAATCATTCAAATTCCTTCAAGAGTGAAATATGATAATGGAATAAAAATACAATGGAATGCTCATGGTGTGCGTAATACTGAGCATAAAACAGTGAACAAAACTAAATTTCCTTGAGCTTTCTTTAATTCCTACTCCGGTGTGTATGTGTATGTACACATGCTCACACTCATACTGTAGACTTACTAGCACCTTTTTATTTATTCTGTATCCAGTGTTGGTATGTGTTAAATTTCAATTGTTAGAAAACTAATAAATAATAATTTTCACTTCTCAACTTTTGTCTAATTACAGCTTATGTAATAAGAATGGGCAAACAGCTGAAGATCTTGCTTGGTCATGTGGATTTCCAGAATGTGCCAGGTATCTAACAACGATTAAATGTATGCAGACAACGGAATCATCAGGTGATCTCTGTGCTCCAGTACTCAGACAGAAGCGAAGTTTAACAAGTGTGGAGAACAGAGCTCTGAAGAGGAAGTGTTGGTAAGTACTTTCCAGCAGTTGTGGTTTTCCTCCTCTAAAGGTTTCTCTTCTGGCATAGAGTTTATTGTTGTACCTAATATCAGCAGCATTCTCATCGAAGGTCCAGTAGACTTTGTTTTCTTTAAGTTTTACCCTTGGTCATAGTTACTTTAGGGAGAGACTTCCTCCTTTTAAAAGTTTTTTTTTTTTTTTTTTTTTTTTTTTTTTTTTTAAAGATTGTGTGCCTATGTGTATATGCATTCAAGTGCCTGTGTATGTTCAAGGGTGCATGTGGAGGCCAGGAGAGGTATGGGATCCCTTGAAGCTGGGAGTAGAGGCCAGGCATGCATTTGCAGTATGGTCTGGATTGTTGCATGGGTGCTGGGATCTAAATTCCAGTCCTCAAGATTATGCAGCAAGCACTCTTACTCTTAGCCATTTGTCCAATCCCCTTAAAACCATTTTTAATATCAACATGTTTTTTTTTTAATTTTGCACAAATAGTTAATCTTTATTGGAAAATACGAGATTTATGAGAAGGTTTATCCTGAGGTGTGTATGGGGGGATGGATGTTGGTGTGTGTGTGTGTGTGTGTGTGTGTGTGTGTGTGTGTGTATACTGGTATGTGTATATGTCATATCAACATGCTTTTTCCCTTCAAACAGATACCTTGTAGGCAAGAAGGGGCTTGAGGAAGGGCTTCACTTCGGACAGATCTATGAGCCATGGCTGTGGCTTGCCATATACCTAAACTCCTGAGGAGGAAATCTTTCTTCTAAGTGAAGAGAACATTCATCAATACATGTATTTACATGACTGTATTTTGGCTGTGCATGCTTTGTTATTTAACTTATTAAAAGAATATTCAAGGAATAAAAATTTCTGTGAATTCTTTACTACTTTTGAAAAAATTACTTTAAATCACAGCCACAATTTAATTTAAAATTATGCTTGCTTTTATTTACATTAGAACAGTTCTTTTAGATCTATAGTCTTGACTCCAAGATAATTTAAATAGCATTTAAACAGCATTTGGTCGTTGAGGAAGGCATAAGTTATAGTATGCATCCTTGTTCCAAAAGTCTGGGCTCTTCCATCCACACCAGCCCTAGATTTGGAAGGAAGGAAAGAAAACCTTTTATAACTCATGATTCCACAATGGAAACTCTACCTTTGTCAGCAGGATCCTGACATAAGACTTAGACACCAATCAAATTCAAGGATTTTCAAAGTGAAGAAAAGTAACTGTTTTTGTCAACTTGACATAAGCTACCATCATCTGGGAAGATGAACCTCAATTGGAAAAATGCCTCTATCAGATTTGCCTGTGGGGAATTGTCTTTATTGATGATCTATGTGGGAGGGCCCAGTAGCACATATGGGCAGTGACATCCTGGGCAGGTGGTCTTGGATCATACAAAAAGAAAGGAAGGAAGGAAGGAAGGAAGGAAGGAAGGAAGGAAGGAAGGAAGGAGAAAATTAAGCCAAGCAAGCTGGTGAGTGGCATTCCTCCGTGGCCTTCAGCTCTTGCCCTGACTTCTGGACTGTAAGATGAAATAAACCCTTTAACACAGCAACAGAAAGTAAACTAAAACATCTTTTTACATAGATTTTAAACAGAACAAAGCATATCTATAATACTTAAGTCTAGAAGTCATCAAAAAACAAAATAAAAAATACTTCCTTAAAGCAATTGTTAGTCCAGACATTATACTTCATTGGTTCTAATATACAGGCCATCAGTAGCTGTAATAGCTTTATTGGCAAACTGTTTTACTTAGTAGTCTACACATACGTGCCATTCAGTGACACTTTCAATATGAAATATGAGACCTAAGCCAGCCCCATGAGTTCTGTTTTTTTTTTTTATCCTCATGGGCTGTTTGCTTCCCAGTCTTCATTTCAATTTAATCTTTTTCTCCAGCAAAGAATAATTTTTAGTGGTTTATAAATATGAAAGTTTTATCAAGTTGCTGCTGGGACCACTCATTTTCTCTTTTCTCTTTGAG